AGAGGCTATTTTGCTTTCAAATTAGAGTTATGGTTACCACCAATGATGACTAAAGGTTCTTTACATTAAAAAAAAATAAAAATTCATTTATTACATTTTACAGGATACTTTATTGTACCTAGGTGAAGAGTGTCGTAGACATCTCCTTCTTTTCGGTCCTCTGAGATGAACCTTCTTCCCTCTGAAAAAATGTTTTTAAAAACAACTTTATGGTTTATTTACATAACTAAATAAATAGATAAATGGTGACAGTAAATGTTTATCGTCACCCTGTTCCTATTATGTCAGTAGCTAGATACATACGGGTGCCCTTGAGGTACAGCATAGCCTGCGGGGTCCAGTTTCTTCGCTGGAATGAGCCCTTTATAGAAGAAATAGTATTTGAAGCTCAAAGCTGGAGATATTTTTATGACTTTAGAATACTGTCAGAATATGAATAATTGTTTTGGTAATCTTGTGACAAAGCAGTTCAACAGGGGAAAAAAAAAATTAAATCAAACCAGCCGTACCTTTGGCGTGCTCCGTGACTGGGAGATAAATGTTGCCAGTAATAAAAGTGTGAGTACATACGCTATTGTGACAGTCTTCAAACCCTGTCGGCAAAAAAGAAATGATCAAATCATGATGTCATCAGCATCCTTCATCTTCCTCACAGACCGACTCACTCAGATATGTGCCTTTATATTCACTTGAAGAAATCTTTTAATAATTAACTCAGTAACTGTGAAGCCTCGGTGAAAAACGTGTATATGCAATATATCTGTGAATACAAAGAAAAAAGTGAACTTTTAGTGAGGACATCTCCAAAATTACTTTGATATTGCTGATTGATTCATCTTTTAGAAAGTGAGATATTAAAATGTTTGCTTAAAATAACATTTTCCTAAATGACATTTTCAAGAAAGAATGCATTTCACTTTTTTGAAGATGCAAAAAGTCCAGATATTTAAAAAATTTTTTCCAATGAAACCTGTTTTAAAAGAAAAATAAATAAATAAATTCCTTCCACCAAAATACTGCAAACGTTTCATGCCTTCCACCTACCTTCATGGTATCACAGGTCCTGTAAGCCTGGCGCCTGCAGAGACAATGAGAGAGTAGAAGGTTCAGGGTAGCTGCTGGTGGTGTTTCCTCTGCCTCTACTTATATCCTCTGTGAACCTTCTGTGCTCTGTCAAGATGCTGCCAGCAATAGGTCATGAAAGTTTGATGGAAAGGGGGCGGTTAGGAGAGTGAATGAATTGTGCCACTAATCGATCCAGTTCCTTTCACAGACAGCTGAAGTCTGTTGTAAAATACCTGTGAATTGAATCAAGCTTCTCTAAACACTTCCTGCTCCCCAGGGTGGTTTTTCAAAATTAGTCGGAGCTGCGGGCCATTAATATGAAATGTGGAGCACCCTGGATGTTCATAACAACAGCAATATTCTCCTCTGTGGTAATTTTTAATGTTTGCACCTTGCTTACTAGAGGAGTATACGGACAGATGTGAGTTCATTTAATGAATCAAAAGGCAACATATCCACTAATAAAAGGAACAGTCCACAGCCTACAGGAGTGAATGAGTGATGTTCACTGTCAGTAATAGACAGTGTTGGGTAAGTTACTTTAAAATAGTAACTTAGTTACATTACTAGTTACTTCGATCAAAAGTAACTCAGTTACTTCAAGTTACTCGTTACTTTCAGAGTAACTAGTTACTAGGGAAAGTAACTTTGGTTTTACTCAGAATTCTCTTGTTAATGTGTTGCTTC